CCCGACATCTTCAGCTGAGACCTCGACAATCGCCACCTCGACCGCTGAGACTACTACAGTCCCGACATCTTCAGCTGAGACCTCGACAATCGCCACCTCGACCGCTGAGACTACTACAGTTGCGACATCTTCAGCTGAGACCTCGACAATTGCCACCTCGACCGCTGAGACTAGTACAGTCCCGACATCTTCAGCTGAGACCTCGACAATTGCCACCTCGACCGCTGAGACTACTACAGTTCCGACATCTTCAGCTGAGACCTCGACAATTGCCACCTCGACCGCTGAGACTACTACAGTCCCGACATCTTCAGCTGAGACCTCGACAATCGCCACCTCGACCGCTGAGACTACTACAGTCCCGACATCTTCAGCTGAGACCTCGACAATTGCCACCTCGACCGCTGAGACTACTACAGTCCCGACATCTTCAGCTGAGACCTCGACAATTGCCACCTCGACCGCTGAGACTACTACAGTCCCGACATCTTCAGCTGAGACCTCGACAATCGCCACCTCGACCGCTGAGACTACTACAGTCCCGACATCTTCAGCTGAGACCTCGACAATTGCCACCTCGACCGCTGAGACTACTACAGTTCCGACATCTTCAGCTGAGACCTCGACAGCTGAGACCTCGACAATTGCCACCTCGACCGCTGAGACTACTACAGTTCCGACATCTTCAGCTGAGACCTCGACAATTGCCACCTCGAACGCTGAGACTACTACAGTCCCGACATCTTCAGCTGAGACCTCGACAATTGCCACCTCGACCGCTGAGACTAGTACAGTTCCGACATCTTCAGCTGAAACCTCGACAATTGCCACCTCGACCGCTGAGACTAGTACAGTCCCGACATCTTCAGCTGAGACCTCGACAATTGCCACCTCGACCGCTGAGACTACTACAGTTCCGACATCTTCAGCTGAGACCTCGACAATTGCCACCTCGACCGCTGAGACTACTACAGTCCCGACATCTTCAGCTGAGACCTCGACAATCGCCACCTCGACCGCTGAGACTACTACAGTTCCGACATCTTCAGCTGAGACCTCGACAATTGCCACCTCGACCGCTGAGACTAGTACAGTTCCGACATCTTCAGCTGAGACCTCGACAATCGCCACCTCGACCGCTGAGACTACTACAGTTCCGACATCTTCAGCTGAGACCTCGACAATTGCCACCTCGACCGCTGAGACTACTACAGTTCCGACATCTTCAGCTGAGACCTCGACAATCGCCACCTCGACCGCTGAGACTAGTACAGTTCCGACATCTTCAGCTGAGACCTCGACAATTGCCACCTCGACCGCTGAGACTAGTACAGTCCCGACATCTTCAGCTGAGACCTCGACAATCGCCACCTCGACCGCTGAGACTAGTACAGTTCCGACATCTTCAGCTGAGACCTCGACAATTGCCACCTCGACCGCTGAGACTAGTACAGTTCCGACATCTTCAGCTGAGAC